GACGCTCTCGTACCGGTGTGGGACGTGAGGGAGGTCCAACGGGAGCCACCCGGGTGCTCCTCAAGTCCTCCAGCCCTCATTTTTGGCCTACTCACTTCTCCTTCACGTCCCGGGCGTGCCTCTCGTTGGCCACCCCGATGGGCTTGGAGAGGTCCCGAAACACGGCCGGGTTGGTGAGGTCGAGGGTCTCCGAGACGTAATCCCGCAGGATCCAGGGGAACTGGGTGGGGTGGGAGGTGGGTGAGGCTGGGAGGGGCTGTGGGTTCACTTTGGGGGGGGTGGGGGGGACGTGGGGCCCACCCCGGGAGAGGTCGTTGTAGGTGCGTCCCGCGATGGTGTTCAGCTGCATGAGGTACTCGAAGTTGGAGATCTCCCGCAGGACCCATTTCTGGAGCAGAGGGAAGGTGGCTGAGATGGGTTGGGGGGCAGCAGAGGGGCAGACATCCCCACCCCACGGCCATCCCTGCTCCTACACCATCCCTGGTCCCACAGATGTCCCCATCCCATGAACATCTCTGGTCCCACAGCCGTCCCTGATTCCACAGCTATCCCCAACCCTGGTCCCATGGCCACTCCTGGTCCCATGGTCATCTCCAATCCGTGGCCATCCCTGCTCCCATGGTCATTTCCAGCCCATGGCCATCCCTGGTTCCATGGTCACCTCCAACCCATGGCCATCCCTGGTCCCATGGTCATTTCCAGCCCATAGACATCCCTGGTCCCACAGTCATTTCCAGCCCATAGCCATCCCTGGTTCCATGGTAACCTCCAACCCATGGCCAACCCTGGTCCAATGGCCACGTCTGATCCCATGGTCATCTCCAACCCATGGTCATCCCTTGTCCCACAGCCATCTCCAACCCATGGTCATCCCTTGTCCCAAAGCTATCCCTGGTCCCATGGGCATCTCCAATCCATGGCCACCCCTGGTCCCATGGGCATCCCCATCCCACGCTGGCACCTCCTCTTTGCCACCTGGGAAGAGGAGATACGGGGTGGGGGTGAGCAAGGAGGAGCCCATACCTGGGTGAGCCCCGAGGCTTTCAGCAGCTCCTGGGGTGACCGGCTGCCAAAGTAGATTTGGTTGGGGGGCCGCAGGCCAAGGATGGAGGAGTACACCTTGTTCCTCACCTGGTGGGGGGGGACAGGGGGGAGGACGTGGAGCGGCCGGAGCCTGGGTAGAGCCGTGTCCCCCGGGAGGGGACTTGGAGAGAGGGGTGGGCAGGGTGGCTCCACCTTTTTTCTGAAGTTGAGGAAGAAGTTGGCCTGGTCGATGAAGAAGAGCTCCAGGGCGGAGCGGCGCAGGTTGTAGCGGCGCAGGT